AAACCCACCCCTTGAGACCAATGAGGAAGAAATTCCTGCTTAGTATGGCTAAACCCCTGTCCCAACTTCAGTTAACACTGAACCATCTGGGCCTACTGAGGTTATTCATATCAACGTTTCTCCGATGCTTCTACTTCATGTACACGTAAAGTAGTAGAGGATGAGGACAAGGAGAACAGAACTAATTCTAGTTCTGCAAATTCTGATGATTGTCAAACCAATGACTCCTTGAACGTTGAATCTATTGCTTACAACTCGGTTACTTCTAAACCTGCTATTGGTAAATACAGGACCAAAAAAACAAACAAGCAATTCAGAGTGCCTGCTAAAGTGTGCTTGTGGAACAATCAAAGACAAGGCAAGGGCATGCCACACAAGGGCAGGAAGAAACAATTCACACGTGAAGAAAAGACATGTTTTGTAACATTCGGATTTCCAGGTACATTATTTATTATTTATTTTGGATATTTTGAGAGAGACTCGGCGAGTTGATGCTTAGACTCATCGACTAGAGTCGCGAATTACCATCCGGGTTAATGACCGACTCGGACGGCGAGTCGACTAGTGGACTCGGCGAGTCCGCACTGTTTAATGAAACCCTAATTTCCGGGGTTTGAGACCTATTTAAAGGCCCTTGTGGCCTTTATTTGCGGCGCTACAGTTGATAGAGAGAGACCCCGGAGTGTGTGAGCTTTTTGAGAGAGAAAGGAAGCCATTTTTGATCCTTGTGGTGGGTGATTTTGCAAGAAGAAGGTGACCAAGGCAAGAGGAAGCTGAAGAGGGAGCTAATTTGTGGATTTCAAAGCTTAAGGACTTCATCTTGAGGTACATATTCGATCCTTCTTTAGTTTTGGGTGTTAATCCTTGAGAGTTAGGGTTTCTGCCCATTTTAGAGTATGATTGTTAGTGCAATTGGTCCCTTCTTGTGTTGGGGCTGCGGATCTGGATCCAAAGAGGTCCAGAGATCTAAGCCCCTTGATCTTTATGGGGTGTCATTGGGTTTATATGAGCTTAGGGTGGCATATTGAGGCCATTTCTTCAAATAGAGCCATAGGGCCTTTGCATGGGCATCATGATCCAAACTTTACGTGTTTATTATGATCAAGGAGGGCAGATATGGGTTAGAGGAACAGATCTGGCCTCAGGAGGTCATTTATGTATAAGCATGGCATGAACTCGCCGAGTCCCAAGAACAAACTCGGCGAGTAGGGCTAGGGTTTCCCGTAAGTCACTCAGTGAGTAACTTGTGAGTTGGGGGAATGAATCGGTGAGTTAGAAGGTGGGTAGAGGATTACAGGTGGAACTCGTCGAGTTCATAATTGAACTCGACGAGTTGAGTCAGGTTGCCCGCGATTCATGCTAGGTGTAACTCGTCGAGCAGGGGGAGGCTCGACGTGTCATGAGAGGCTAGAGAGATAGTGGACATGTGTAGACTCGCCGAGTCGCCCAAGTGCACTCGACGAGTCAGGTCAAAGTTTGACCGTTGACTTTTAGGGATTGGTCAACAATGGGGTCTTTGAGTCAAGATAGGGGTAAAATGGTCTTTTACCCATCTGAGGGTGCTAAGAGAGGGTTGGGTCTAGTCTCGAGAGTTATATTTATGAGCGTATTTTACTTTATGTGATTAGGCGGAGGCTAGACTATACTGCTACCAAGTTAGGGATTTACCGAGACATCTGAGGGGAGTCTTCTCACTATACTTTACCTTGAGTGGTAATTAGAGCTATGTGACAGAGTTATTATATGTTATTTATGTGATGTGTTGCACTGCATTATTTCTATGTGATTTTGATGTGCCATGTGTATATCAGAGTATATCAGAGTTAGAACCGGAAGGTTCCAAAGCTAGGACCAGAGGGTCCACAGAGTTAGGGCCCAAGGGCCCATAGAGTTATAGCCTCGAGTGGCTAGTATGTGTTATGTGTGGTATTTTGGGGACTCACTAAGCTTTATGCTTACAATGTTATGTGTTATGTGTTTCATCAGGTACCCATGATGATCGCGGGAGGCGCCAGCATGATCTGTACACACACCCGCGGAGTTTATTATGATTTGATCTTGGGAAATGTTTTGTGACCATGATACGATACAATGAGATTTTAATGATGAATGTTTTGGAAAATGTGTTTTGAAATGTGAAAATTTGTGTTAATTTTTACGGTGTTACATGTTTTCACTGTGGAACACCTAGTCACATTGCCAGAATTTGTCCAAATCGTGCATATGTTCCCTACTATGCACAAGGATTACAGAACGCGCCAAGATGAAGATTTTCCAAAAGAAGCCCTTCGAGTCCACGTTCAAACAATGGTGATTGGAATGTGTAGAAGACCAAAATCAACTCCCAATGGCAAGAACGGATGGCGGCCAAGAAGCAAAGCTCAAGAGATGCTCTAATGAAGCCAAGATGGTTAGGTCAAAGTCATCTCAATGATTGACTTCAAGTTCAAAAGCAAGTACTAAGCCACCCATCCGATCGAATAAGAAATGGGTTAACCCAATCACAGATGGGCACCAAGGTTCAATCTCCCAAAACTTCTAATATATTTCTACATCTTTTGTTTGTGTGTGATAAGCAGTATATATGTCATGGGAGAGAGTACCTTGCACGGATGAAAAAGGTCGACCTAGTTTCAAAATGGATTGGGTTCCAAAGACCACTGATCCCGCTCTGTGCTGGAGTAACTATGGAGGCATATCATCAGACTTTGGTTTGTTGGAAGTGGTTGTTCCAGGCACATGATATGGGACATCTCTCACATGTACAACACTCAGAACTTAGTTTAAGAGTATGTGTCCTTTGCGGGAAAAAGGAAGAAAGGAAAGGATTACACATGGGGTTTGTGCTTAACGATGTGAAGAATTTTCGGATATGTTATGAGATTATACGTGCTGCTCTCAGACCTTTTGGATGCAAATTCAATCGGTGACTTACAGTTTGAGTTTTCTTCTCGATGCTCCTGATTTTATCTTAAACTGATTCGTTTTGAAGACAATCTTTTATTTTCTTATAGTTTTTCGTTAGTAGGTATTATTGGGAAGTGATTATAAGTTCAGTGCTAAAAGGCAATCTGAAATTTGTGTAAAGCACTGAAGCTAAATTGTTTAGACTTTGTGTTAAATGTGTTGGTAAGCACGAAGGAGTTCAATGGATCATACTAGATTTAGATTGACATTTTAAAAGGACTTGACAAGTACTGACTTAGATAGTTCCGTTTGGTCTGTCAATACGATGCTCGGGTAGATTGAGCAGTAAGATATACATGGGAATCAACGGGATACACTAAATAATCGGTATCTAGAATCGTGGTTTAACTTTTCGTTGATATATGGTCTCATGACCTTAATTCTGGTACTGATAG